ACTGTCTGTAACTCCAGTCCCAGGGGATCTGACAGCCTCTTCTGTCCTCTGTGGGCATTGTATGACACAGGTGCACTTACCTATATGTAGGCAATACACACATACACATAAAATAAAAACAATAAATAAAATTTTAAAGAAAAAGAAAAAGAAATATTTCACTCACAAAAAACTTCATAACCTGAAGACTTTGTCAAGAGGAAAGGCATTTCTTCACACAATGGAAAATTTCAAGACTTTAATTTGAAAAGGGATGAGGTTCGGAGTCCTGCTATGAACGCTTTTCCCAACTCTACCCCAAGAACAGGGCCTGGCATGTGGCTGTTCTCATCAATGAACTGGAGAAACAAATGGGTGATGCAGGAAGGAGTCTAGCCAGTGTTTAATGAAACACTTAAACGATTCTGTTTCTCTGGCCAGCAGCAAAACCCTACCTGGCATCATAGAGATGTTCCTCCCCTACCCGTGAAATATGATTAACAGTTTAGACAGTCCCATGATTCAGGTGACTGACATAACTGAATGTTCTATTTTTCCTGTGGCCAGCTTAATGGGGCAGGTGACAAAGAGAGTTGGGCTTTGTTTCTGGCTCTCTCTAGTGTATCAAAGCAAGCGAGAAAATACTCTTCCTTATTTAATACTAAATGATCTCTCTATCATAGTTTAAAAAATTCCAAATCATATTAGATTCCTGAACATATTTTCTCCTGATAGTCTTAGTTACTTACAAATATCGTGCACTGCCAACATAGAACTATGGAACTGGCATAAATCTTCTCTGTTTCTTAGTCTCTATGTTACAAAAACTGTTGAGAAAAGCCCTCCAGGAGTTAAACCAAACAAACAACTAGAAGCTACCAAAACAACCACATCGTATGTTCAGAACTCTGAAATATACTCACTTATTATGGTATGTAATGGCTGTGTATACTTCCTGCAGAAACTCGGGCCCATTGGACTTCCCAAAGATGACCTGTTTGTCAATATGGAAAGAAGCAAATGAAGAGTGGCTTTTGGCTATATCCAATCCTGTCCTATTACACCGGCAGGATACTCGGGCCCACAGAGCTATGCTACACAAGTTAAGAGGGCTGGGTCCTACAATTGGCCCAATCTTACCAACTAGCTCTGGCTATGAAGAGTAAACTAAGGTGGCAAGGGACTAACTAGTGGCCAAGGGCCACAGGTTTGTGAGATTGGAAAACCAGGTCTTACTGTCTCAGTGCCCAGACACAACATAATAAAGTCACATTAATTCGTCCTCAGTGACAGGCTAGGGTCTTCTCTTTTCCAAAGACATGAACTTGACCACGTGGGTGACTTTGGTCTCCACTGCCCTGTCCACCTGTGTGCAGATACCTCATTGGGTCTGCTGTAGCCCCCAACAGTACATGGCCCCCAAGGGATCAAATCCAGGATGTCATACATGCTAAGCAAGTGCTCTACCAGTGAGCTACAATTTATGACTTGTGGACATAGTAATAGCTAACCAGCCATGTCATTCATTAGGAAATTCTGACAGTTTGGTGTTCTTAGAGAAGACTGTTTTAATAAGCATTATTTGATTTAATTTTGCCTTAGGATGAAGATTCATTCTAAAAGGTGTTAAGGTGGTGTATGTTTTGCTAGGCTGTGCTTCATATTTGTTGTATATGGTCTCATGTTCTCCTAAGCGCATATGTGGAAGAAATTCGGCAAAAGAATGAACATCGAGTCAATCTCTTTAATTTTGTAGAATGTTGGAGTGGTGTGGCTCCATGGGCAATGTGGAGAGAACTTATGATATCTTTCAATCCTTTAAAATGATTTTCCAAGTTGAGACATCTCATAGTGGCATATGTTGGGAAACATACTCAATTTAGACTGATGCTGTTTCCTCATCATCATCCTGGGAACAATACCAGGCTATCCAAAAAAGGCTCTTGTGTGTTTTAAGTGGACTGTGCTGGAACAGAATACACTATACATTGATCTGGAGAGCTCAGTGGTCAAGCACTTGCGTGGCATACAAGAAGCCCTGGATTGGGGGGGTGGCAGATATACTCTGAACACCGATGAACTCTAGATTTTTGCCAATGTGAATGGACAAAGGAAGCACAGCCCACCCTAGGCAAATGTTACCCCTCTCTTTACCGGCATAGCGTTGCTAGGATCTTCTCCACACATAAACTGGATTTTTATTGTAAACTGGATTTTCATTGTAATGTTCTGGGCAGATGCTAGTTTGTTAGCAAAGTTCAGTCTCTGTGGGTAGACATATAGAAGATTTCTAGAAAAAAAAAGAAACCTAATAATCAATATCTAGAGTTTTCTTCCATTTCCTGTTCTTAGTTCCAGAAGTTGCTTCTGAGGTGGTGGCAGAAACATGTGGTCTTTGTGAGACTCCATCATATACAGTGGCCAGCCAGGGTCACGGGTACAGAAAGGGATGGTGCAGCTCAATAGCATTATCTTCGGACCTCAGGTTCAGGTGTGGCTCTATGAGCAGCGGAATGTGAGGGCAGAGGATTATGTCAAAACCTTGATGAGAACATGAACCTCATATTAGCTGTTTTCATTCTAAAACAAAGTCAAGAAAGCAACTTGGTCGGATCATGTTAGAAGAAGGTAACATTACTGTGCTACACAGTGTCTTTAACTAGCAATAACCAATGATCTAAGAAGTCATTGGGAAGGTAATACAGCTTTGTTATTTTCAATGGTGTCTTCTGTTGGGAGAACAGTTCTGAAATAATTCATATTATTATAATGACCCCTGTGTTATTATGTGATGACAATAAATGCTGTGAGATTGTTTTGTTAGAAATTTTAAAAAAAGGGTGTGTATGTGCCTAACAAAGTGGGCATCTTGTATATACTTATTATCCTAGATTGCAAGGGGCAGAGAAAGTAGGATCAGTGGGGCTCACTGGCTTTCAGTCTAGCAGAGACGTGAGTCCCAGGTTCAGGGAGGGACACTGCCTCAATGGAACAGGTGAAGAGTGATAGAGGGGGATACCAGGCACCCTTTTCTGGCCTCTGTGAGCACATACATACACATGTACAGATACACTTACAAAGACACATATACATACATAACTAACTAAACAAAACTGATAAATAAGTGAAAAAAAAACCACTTTTTTTTGTCCTTTTGAAACAGGGTCTCTCTGTAGCCCCAGCTGGCCTAGAGCTCACTATTTAGACCAGGCTGGCCTTGAACTCACAGAGATCCACAAGTGCTGGGACTACAGGCATGTGCCACCATGCCCGGCAATAAGTAAAAAAAATTTAAAAATTGTAGAAGATCTAGAGTTTAGGTAGTATGTAAACTTAGCATTCGGAGTGTAAGTTTAAGACCACCCTGGACTATATAGCAAGTCTCTGTTTCAAAAATCAAAACAACAAGAATCAAAGGTTTATTTTAACCACGTTCTTCAGTGAATCCAGGCCCGTGCTCATGAGATGATTAACTAAAGGAGTTTTTCCTTTCCTTTCAAAGTGAGTTGCTGAGGGAGAAGTGAGAATTACTTTTGACTCTTCCTCATCATCTGTATGCATCCAGTGAAAATCATCACTTCTCTCTGTATTGTTACATTAAGATATGCCTGCTACTGCTAAGAAAGTCTTAATGTCGGGGGCTGAAGAGATGGCTCAGTGGTTGAGTACTGACTGCTTTTGCAGAAGAGCTAGTTTGTTTCCCACTACCCACATGGCAGCTAACAACCATCTGTAACTCCAGTTCCAGGGGATCTGATGCCTTTTTCAGACCTTTGTGGGCTCTACACAACATGGGTGTGCTTACACACATGCAGGCAATACACTTATACACATAAAATAAATAAATAATAAATAAAAGAAAGTCTTAATGCCTTGGAGTGTAGAGATTACAAAGAAAGAATTATGCTCAATACACAAGTGAGAGAGCAAAAAGTTTCTGCTCATTTTAAAAGAAATCCCTGACCACAGCACCATTCCTTTGAGTTCTCTTTTTCTAATCTTATATGGTAATTCCACTTTTTGTTGGCCATGGTGCTCTGAATTAATTTGGCTTTTAAGAGGACAGACCAAACTTTCAAGTTCAACTTCTGTATAACAATGGCAATGCTGAAAACAACACAAATACATCTACTCAGTCAACAACAACAGGAAACTAAGCTGAGCATAATTTGTATATGTTCTTATTTCTAGTTACATGATTTCTAGGATATTCTACTAAACTCTTTGAGAATAGGAACTTCTTGTTTTTTGAGTCTGGTTGGCCCTGAATTCCCAATCCTCCTGCCTCAGGCTTCCAAGTGCTGGAATTACAAGTGTATACCAGGATACCAGGGCAAGGGATAGTGACTTTTTTTTTTCCTGTCTTTTTGAAGCAGGGTCTCCCTGTAGCCCCAGCTGTCCTGGAACTCACTGTGTAGACAGGGCTGGCCTTGAACTCACAGAGATCCACCTACCTCTGCCTCCCAAGTGTTGGAACTACAGGTGTGTGCCATCACGCCCGGCTTTTATGGGATAGTGACTTTTTTTTAGGACTTTATTTACTTTTATTTTACGTGTATGAGTGTTTGCTTATATGCATATAAGTGCACCATATGTGTGTAGTGCTGGTGGAGGCCGGAAGGGGGTGTCAGATCCCCTGGAACTGGAGTTACACGTGTTAGTTGCAATGAGGGTGCTGGGAACCAAAAGCTGGTTCTCTGGAAGAGCAGTAAGTGCTCTTAACCACTGATCCATCACTCTAGCTTCAAGGAGAGTGACTTTTATCTGAGGTTATTTGTATCTCCTACTACTAGAGTAGTGCCCAGGTCATAGTAGTATTAAGTAAATATGTGTTGAGTGAAGGAATAGTTATACATTTTTGATGAAGCATATTCATAACTTTAAGAAATATTAATGATACTAGAATTTATATGACTTATCCCGGGTCCAGTAATATTTCAGATACTTCATATGTATTGTATTGCTTAATTTTTTTTTGTTTGTTTGTTTTTGTTTTTTTTGAGACAGGGTCTCCCTGTAGCCCCAGCTGGCCTGAATTCACTGTGGAGACTAGGCTGGCCTTGAACTCACGGAGATCCGCCTGCCTCTGCCTCCTGAGTGTTGGGACTAAAGGCGTGCACCACGACACCCGGCTTAACTTGCTTAATTCTTATAATTATCCTCTCAGTAGGAACTATTATTCATGCCATCATCCCCATATCACAAATGAGGGGGAAAATGAGATACAGAAATGTTAAATAAAAATGAACAGAATGGCCATTTCTATGTTATTCTGTTATCTGGGATCCTGGGAAAGAACAAGTTTATCTTAATTGTCTAGGCCTCATTAAGAGTTGAGTTTCAACAGTACAGCAACAAACAGCTCAATTAGTTAAAGTCATGTTCTTTGGGAAAATTTTTTTATTCCTGATTCTTGGTACATATTCTAACATCTAGACAGGAGCTGGAGAGATGGTTCGGAGGTTAAGAGCACTGGCTATGCCTGCAGAGAACCCAGATTTGGTTCCCAGCACCCAGCAGTTAACAATGGTCCATAACTCCAGTTCCAGGGGCTCTGACACCCTCTTCTAGTCTCTGTGAGCACTGCGTGCATGTGGTGCACTTACACACATGCAGGCAAAACACACATACACATAAAATAAAAGTAAATAAAGCAAAAAATAAAAATAAAAACTAACTTCTAGGTAGCACAAACTCCCCAAGCAGACATATTCTTGCCTGAGGGCTCCCAAGATGCCAAAATAAACTTTTTGTGGATTAGATACCAGGAAAGGAAAGACCAAGAAGGAAGGCAGAATTTTCCCTGAATGAAAATTACAATGAATATTGTAAGTTCTTACAATATTTTACAAGGTTTTGCATATTAACAGACACCAAGGTTTCTCAGCCTGGTTACCAGTGACCTTTAGGATTTGACAATTCTTTGTTGCAGAGGTTGCCCTGTAGGACACTCAGCAGTATTCCTCGTCTCTATCACCAGATGCCAGTGGTATCACCCCGGCTAATTTTTTGTGACAACCAAAATTGTCTTCAGACAATATCAAATAGTCTGCAAGTCAAAATCACCTATCTTTGAGAATCTATGACTTAGATATGAATTTGTAAAGTATAGATCTTGACAACTATATACTGAAGATTTCTCATCTTTAATACTTATAGTTATAAAATTATTAATGGTACCTATCAAGTGTATATTCAAATGCAAAGTATGTTCCATTAGAAAAGAGTGAGGTCAACAGTCAAGCATGAGGCAGAAGATAAAAACTGAAATCTATTTAACCAAGGAGGTCTGGGGAAGTCAGGGACAAAAACTGAAAGAAGGGGATCCTAGGTAAGAACAGATGAATGGACTGAGCGGATCTGCTTCTGATGGACCACGCACAGTGCCCCCAAGGAAGTAATTCAGTGCCAGATGAACAGAGAGCTACAAGTCTAATTCTTGTGGGTCACTAGGTACAGGCAAGTCCATCTTCAGAGTGAGTCCCTGTTCTAGTCTAGGAAGAGAACAAGAGAGGATTTCTCACCATTTTGAAATGTGGCCGTCTTCAGAGCTAAGTAGACACTAGATTGGAGAGGTCAGACTTGGGAATTAGGCCTATTTTCTTCTTTTCATATTTCCAGGCTGTTCTATGCCCTCTAATCCCAGTGCTCTGTAGCATTAAAAAGTAATGGGGAAGAGAAGTGGGGGTGATGAAACACTGCTGGGAAAGTTCAGGGAAAACTAAGATAAACCGGCTAATGTGCGTTGGGAACGCCTTAGAAAGGGCAAGGATTCTGCTCCCTTCTCCACATGTTTAGACCTCAGGATTCATTCAATTTGTCCTTTCACAGTATATTTCATAAGCTTAATAGTCTAAGAAATCATATGGGAAAACACTGAAATAAATGATCTAGTTGTAGAAGAACATACCATATCCAGAAAGGAGAAGCCAGAGCACAAGGATTCGCTACTGAGCCAGCACTCCTGTAATTAAACACTCCAGAGGCAGAGGCAGGAGGATCACTGCAAGTTTGAGGCCAGCTTGATTTACATAATGAATTTCAGTCTGGTCAGGGCTACATAGTGTGTCTGTGTCTCAAAATCAAAGTTAAAAACCATGAAAACATGGATTTTCTACTCAACTCTCTTGCAACAGTAAGGAATGCTCTTAGGTAATTCAAGAGGAAAACCAGTATCTGAAACTCTTCAGAACTCACAGGAGCTGTG